TGGCAAGGGTCTTATTAATGGAAATAGGAATCCAACAAAACTGAAGAAGCCTTTATATGTCTCCAGACAGAAACATACTGTATAGTGTGTCTTTGTTGATTAAAAAAAGTGGTTTAATATGAAAAGACTCAGCCTCACCAAAATTTGCATTTGCCAAAATTAAAACCCTTGTAAAATCTGGGAAGCAGAGAAGTGTTATAAATGGGAAGGTGCTGGGGTGTGTGACTGGTCAGCTTAGGAAGCTTCTTGCAGATGACAGTGTTCCTCTAGAATTAATGATACTCCCTCCACCTTCCCTGAATTTTCTCCAATAAGGTTTTAAGGAATTGTCAGCAATCAGTCAGACCTTCCTTTCAGCATGTAACTAAGTGAAATTCCAACATTTCTTAATGGAGTCAACTTCATTTTTCTGTCCATTTAAGAATATGCTGATGCCATCAGGAAATCCTTGTTTTTCAAACCTGTGCTGGAAACTAGAAGCACCATTGAGCAAAACAGTTAAAATTATTTTTGTGCGGCCGTCTGTCCTGTCCACCTTCATGGTTGTTGTAGCCACCCGATCCTGGACCCCAGGGCTGGTGAGGAGACTGTGTCAGCGGAGCTGCATTCAGACACAGGAGACCAGGTTCAGTGACATAGATCTATTTTATTGAGGAATTTACAAGCTTATATAGGGTTCTTGGACCAATCAGACAAGGATGCAATGACTATGCCATATATAGGCAGCCCTGGTTCCGGGACCAATCAGACAGGGATATAATGACTGTGTCATATATGGGCAGCCCAGGTTCTGGCAAATCATGTGACCATGGCTGTTGTTATGCCCATGTGCTGCAAGCTGTAGATAAACCGCAACCTGGAATTTCAAGGGGTGGCGACTAGGGAGTGGAGAGCCTTAAGTGTCAGCCCTAAGACTTGCCAAATGGAGTGATAATCACAAGGCGTTCCTCTTGGCTCCAGTGGTTGGGCCATTGCATCACGCCTGCTGTATGGCTGTCATTAGGACTTCTGCTTTAGGCTCAAGCCTGTCTCCCACAAACAAAGGTCTACTTGCTCCAGATAGGGAACTGACAACAGGCCAAAGTAAGGATACCACCAATATCCAACTTGGTGAACCAAAGAGTTTTACTGGGTTTACTAACATGTACGTGGAAACAGAAGTGACTTAAAGAGAGCTGCATCACCAAAAGCCCACCCCAACATGGTGACAGTTCATGAAAGCAGGAAACCTGGAGTTCATTGTACAACCTGCAGCAGCTCAACAGCTTGGAAAGTGTCTCTTCCAGGCAGGTGGGGTGTCTGAGCCACTTCTAGGCAGTTCAGCTTGTCTGATTCTTGGGGGAGGAAGTTTAGTGTATCTGGTCAATTTCAGGGACTTCTTACAACCTTTGAGTTGTTTACTTCCTTAGCTTAATGAGCTTCTCTGCAGGATGGACTGTTTCACCTCCCTTTACAACATTCTGTGTCTTAAAGAACTTCTGCTCCAGATGGAATAATTATCTTGAGGGAAAGTGCTACACAGCATCCTATTAGCATAAACTGAGGGTTTTTATAAACTGCTTGTTAAGCTCTAAGAGGCCCATGGTGACTAGCAAAGACACTTCTACCGCTGCCTTAAGAAGTTACTCCCAGGTTCCAGGGAGAGACCACCCAAATTATTTTCTATATACTGTTATGGAGTTTGAGACCCCCTGGAAAAGACCACCAGACCCAATGCAGATTTTAATTGGTCAGATTTATTAGGGCTATAGCTCTCTGTGGTCCCTTGTCAGATTCAGGACCCATGCCCAAGGGCTGGGTGAAACTAGCTTATAAAGGCAAAAGCCCACAAATACCATAAGAATTTCATCCCTCACCTGTGTGGTCCTGAGTATGGTCAGGACAGCCCAAGTTAGCAGATAAGCAAACTACAGAAGCCAAAACAAGCTTGGGTTAGTTAGTCCTTCTTTTGACAGATGTATAGAGACCTTGACAGTAAGGAACTTTCTGATTACTATTGTTATTGAGGCTTCTTGGCTAGGAAAGAAGCACAGCTGCAGTGTCTGGGAGGTGACCAAGGTCAGCCACTCCAAAGAAAGCACTCTTCTAAGGGGCAGCAACTGAGTTCAAGCATTTAACCTTGAAGTTGGCTGTTTTTGTCTTTGAACTTTAAAGTGGCTGCTTTACACAAAGTGAAGAAAATGGAGTTTCTTTGGTTGTTACAGTCTAGGGGGACTCCGTTGGGGCCATTGCACTGCGGACTGTTTATGATGCAAACTACAGGTCAAGAACCAATATGCTTAATTTACGAGATACCGCATCCATGAATAGAAAGATGAACATTTGGATAAAAAGTATAAAATACCCCAAACAAGAAGCACATACCTTACACTCAAACTGCTAGTTATCAAGGAAATACCAATTGGAGACAACCTTCCACCCACTTAATTTGCAAAGCTCAAATGACACTAGAGTACAGACATAGAAACACACCTATGACTTTCCAGAGCCTCACTTCCAGAGTGGAAACTATCCATAGCCAAGAAATCAAATTACAGTATGATGCTCACAGTGTTGCTTCCAATACAAAATTAACAACTGAGAAAGAAGCCCAGCATCCAAACAGGAGAGCCCTAAGCTGATCACGACACCATGGAGGAGTCTGGGACTCCAGTGAGAACATCCGTGAAACACGGGGAAGATATGCAAGGTGGCAGAGGACAGACCCACGACCCCACATTTATAAACTGAAAGTGTGTGTGAGGGTTAGTACTGCTTGTCATCCTCACAAGACCTAGAGCCACCAGAAGGCCAATCTCTGGGCCTGCCTGGGAGGGAGTTTCTAGATGAGGTGAACTGAGGAGGGAAGACCCACCCTGAATGCAAGGGGCACTTTCCCACGGGTTGAGGTCCTGAGCTGAATAAAAATTAGAAAGTGGGGGCTGGAGAGATGGCTCAGTGGATGAGAGCACTGGCTGCTCTTGCAGAGGACCTGGGTTCCCAGCACCTATGTGGAGGCTGACAACCATCTGTAACTCCAGTTACAGGGATCTACACCCTCTTCTGTCCTCCAAGGGCACTGAACGACATGGGTGTGCTTATGCATAATACTCATACACATAAAATAAAAATAAATAAATCAGGAGACATGGCTCAGCGGTTGAGAACACTAACCTTTCTTGCAGAAGACCCGGGTTCAAATCTGAGCACTCACATGGCAACTAACAACTGTCCGTAACTCCGGTCCCAGGGGATCCGACAGCCTCTTCTGTCCTCTGCGGGCATTGCACGACACGGGTGCACTTATCTACGTGCAGGCATAACACTCATACACATAAAATAAAAATAATAAATAAAATGTGTTTAAAGAATCAACCAATGAATCAAAAACCATTTTTTAAGTAGAAAACAAGCTGAGCACCAGCATTCACCGGTCTCCGCTTCCTGACTGCGGGCACAGTGTGAGCAGCTGCCTCACACTCCAGCTGCCGTGCCTCCCCACCGTGATGGACTGTAGCCCAAGCTGTGAGCCACAATAAACCTTCCTTTAGTGGGGCATTTAATCACAGCAATGAGAGAGATAACGAATACAGTATGCGTAGTTCTTACACACACGTTTTATGCGGACACAGAGGATGCTCAGACCTCAGGGTATCAAATCCCAGAGTTCAGTTGACCCCTGCGCCTAGTCTTTGTCTGTGTCTATTGCAGGAAAGATCCACAGGATACCCTACAGGAAGCAGGTATTTTATTAAGGTTGCAGTTTTGTACAGTGGGCTCAAACCTCAAAATCTAGACCTGGAAGGGAAGTAGCACATATCTTTTAAACTTCAGACATGGGATTACAGTGAGAAGACAACTTTAATATTGATTGGCTATCAGTAAAGTGTTTAAACCAGGTAAAATATTATACATTTAGAAAAAAAAAATATGATTTAAACACTATCCCGTTTGAAAGTCATTGCAGAAGTTTCCATCTCAAACAGAACTGAGGAAGTTTTGTCAGGACACAAGGCAAGAGGTTCTTGCTGGCTGTGTCAGCAATTCTAACCACAAATTTGTCAGCTGAACCTTGCTCCACATCACTTCAGTGCCTGGGCTGAGCGTCCTGCCACCAGCATTTTCTAGCTTAGTATCTAGCTTTCCTGATCTCTCTGCTTTCACGGGTTCTTACCCCCGGTGTTGTGTTGTAGGTGAAATTCAGGCTTTCCAACTTGTATGCTTTTGTCAGCTCGCAGGACGCAAAGGTGGTCCCATTTTAAATAGGTTTCCTTGTACACTGTGGTGCCTGGACACTGCTCTCTAAGTCATACAGTGACAAAATGGGTTCCTTTCCAGTGCTGACCCATCCTCTGAGGGAATCATGATCTCATCAAAGCCTAGATCTAACTAGGTGTGAGGACTGTGGACTTATCCTGAGGGTAAGATCCCTTACACCCTCTGCACCTTTGGGTGGCTTACCTTTGGATGGCTCTTCTGCCTCCTTTCTCCAACCAGGGAGCAATGGGCTGGACCTCTGGTTTTCTGGTGCATGATTTTTTGTTTTTTCCTTCCCCTCTCTGAAGAGGTAACCCTAAAATCTTTTAAGGATTAGATACAAGCTCCCAAATACTTTTGACATTTTTGGACTTTGGAACACAGTATGTTGCTAACAGTCCCAAGGACATTTTGACTTTTAGCCAAGAAACTGGCTACACTTCTTTGGAGTCTTTTTACCCTAACTGCCTAGCCAATTCCTACCTCCTATTCTTATCACACAATCCTCTGAAGAGGTTACTCAAATTGCCAATAGGGAATCGGGATGCAGAGTGCTCTGGGTTCTTCGTGCTGAACAGGGACCCAGGGTGAGGCAATTGGGGTACCCCTCCAGTGGGTCTATCTAAAAGACTCCTAAATTGCATAACTCTTATCTGTAAGGGGAAAATAAAGTCTTTGAATCATGAATAGGAGATGTGAAGGAGGAGTAAAGGCAAGAGTAATTAGCATTACAAGTTCTAGACAGGGAACTAGA